CCCGCGGGCTGTCCGCGGCCCTGCGCCTGCCTCCGCGCCTCTGCAGGTCCCTGCTCGGCCCCCTCTCTGCCCTGGCCCTCGGCAGGAAGTCTTCCCACGGCTCCAGGTCCTGGCATCTTTTTCTTTTGTTCCTTGTCTTCATTTTCTTCCATTTCTTCAGCCTCCTCAGAGTGAAGCTCCTCTTTTCTCAGTGCTCCATCCACTTCCACCCGAGGAGGTGGCCGTTGCTGATGAAGCAAATTAGTCGGTTCTCTTTGTTCTGAAGAGTCACCAGAACATTCAGTTTTGTCATTTAATGCTGCACCACTGAGTAGCGAGGAGGCTGCTACGACCATGCAGGGAGCAGGTGGCAGGCGCATTGTGATGTTGATAAAAAGAATCGGAACAAAAATGAGGTGAATAAATATTATTCCCTCGTGGCATTTGAGTGCAGTTTAAACGTGAAATGCATCCTGAAATTTTTGCTTGAATAGTTTTAATAGTAACTATTTCTATTCTGTAAGATCTATTATAGGTAATTTTTATGTTGAGTGAGGTTTTACTATTTATTTTTACTCCAGTATCGTGCTACCTGGTAACTACAGAGGGAGTGATACTCCCACATATGATGCAAAGAGCAGTCCATGGTGAGACTGCAGCCTATTCGATGTGACACCTTTGCCACAGGTACTGTTTATTAATTAGGGTTGTTGATAAAGCAAGAGTTTGTATACTATCAGACATAAAAAAGGGAAACATGCATATTTTATTTGCTTATGATATTGAAAGTGGCTTTTGTTTATAGATTTATTATTTTTGCCCAATTTTCCTTCAGCTCCATGTGTCTAAAAGCATCCTCTGATAGAAAGTTCTTCTGTTCTCCCAGACTCTACTTAAATCGTTTTTGCTTCCTCAGACTCTTAGAAAACATCTGGACTTACCTAACCTAGAGATGCGCATGAGGGTCTTTCTGTTACTCCATAACGATGAGAGCAGGCATAGTATAAAGTGGAAGGGCCACCTACATTTGTATGTAGCTGTTAATATCTATTGCTAAAGTGAGGCACGGGTGGCTAACACCACCCTTGAGACTCACCCTCTGGATGGAGAGTCCTGGGAAAGAGTGAGTGTAGTGCATAAACTTTCCATCAAAACACATAAATGTGCTTAGTCATCTCCTGCTTTTATTTAATACTAAACACAAATCACCCCAAAGAGAACTTGGAAAATATCATTATTTGAAGAATTACTTGAGATTTCAATTCAGTATGTATTATAAAGTGTTAGAGTTATTTTCTCACATTTCTGGCAGAAAATACAAACGGGGAATAGGAAAAAATTAGCAGAAGGAAACTAAAGATATTATATTAAAACATTTAAAATCCTTCCTTTATATCCAAGTTTATTTTTCCAAGGTAACCACAGCATTTTAAGAATAATTCAGCTCCTTTGACAAATGAGGATTTCTGAATCTTTTCTTTATAAACATTGTATTTCACCCCCAAGGAGTCAGTTTTATTAAACATTTCTATTTTCTAACACTTTTATTTTCTAGCACTTTTATAATACCTTAGTAAAGTAATTCATAGTATCCACCAAAATACAATTCCTAAATATTCTAAAGTTCTTCCCTGGCAGGAGGCTTTTGCAGATACCTAACCTGTGATCATCCTTGATTATAGACTAGAAAAAACAGCCCAATCCCGCCTCATAAATTACTTAACATGTACTTATTTCATAAGGCATTGGCTAAGCTTTTCTTGGAGGAGACCTGGGCCTTTCTCCTGAGGATTCTCTACTCCATCAGGTATGAGCCTCATGGGGTAAGGGGACAGTGAGCAGCCAACAAAACCTCACAGTGTGATCTTCCTGCGCACAGCATTCCGCACAGCAAGAGACTGCCCGATCGGCTGGAGAGGGGCTGGCTTCTCTCCAGAGCTGACACTCTTCCCTGTGTACCAGGAGCTCTCCACCTTCCTCTGGGATAATAGCTGTACCAGTGTGTTGGATAAGCGAGTAACGCATGTGGGGAACTGAGCCCTGACACATACTGACGACTCAGGGACTGTTGGCTGCTGTAAGTTCTGTCACCACATTCTAAAGCTGAGAGTCAGACGTGGGATGTGGTCTGGTCCAAGCTGACTGATTCTGCTAGAGCTAGAACTGTAATGCCAAGATCCTTTATTTCTGTCCCCTACCATACGCTTCCCCAAGTAATTTCTATGTTTATCATATTTGCGCCAATATTTTAAGTACTCTGATGACTGGTTTACCATAAACTAAAACTTAAGTGCAAAATAGAAACAAGTGGAAATTAAGGACTGAATCACGTGATGTTTTGATTTAGCTAAGGATATATACCGGTATCAGAGCAGACTGGGCAGCATTCTCCCTCGGGTGTCATTGTCTGGGGACAGGCCAGGGGAGGGCACGTGGTCTCGTCACACAGAACTCTCCCTTTTGAACAGAGGCAGGTAGTGCAGGGCTCAGGAGACCATGCGGCTGTGTCGTACATGGTCATCCCATTTACCAAACAGCTCCCCTTCTTTCCTAGGAGAGAACATAAGACATTTGAGTTCTGTGTGCAGTTGCCAGCACCTGTGCATGGAGTTAGAACCACCTAAGAGTAGCATTCTGTGTGAGTTCACGCTAAGGCCAAAGATGCCTTCTCGGTGTAACCCTGTGAAATGCTTTTCCCAAGCTCTCCTCTCAGCCTCTCTCACTTAGATTCTGGAGTGACCTCTTCACAGCGACTTTGAATTGAGCTTTCACCCTGTATGTGTCAGGATGGCTAAGTTACACAACTGTAGATATGTGCGTACATACGTCAGTGAGGCAAGCCTTTAGCTGACTTGAGTATTACAGGGGATATTTTCCTTCTGACCGTAGTGTCATTCCTAATAACTCTCAATCTGATAACTCACTATTCCTAATAACTCACCATTGTCCCCAAATTAAACCCCTAAGTGAGCTCTCATACTTGTCCCGTCCTTTCCCTCACCACTGTGTCAGTCCAGTTTAAGCCCTACCCAGCTCTCATCTGGATACTTGCAGTAGACTAATCCCAACCACCCAATTCCTCCCATGGAAAAGAGTAGATTCATGTAAGTTTTCTCCTGATTATGAAAGTACTATATTTTATCAAAATTCCAACAGCCTTTTTTTGCAAAAATGGAAAAGTTGATCCTCAAATTCATATGTAATTACAAAAGGGCCCGAATAGCCAAAAAATCTTGGCAGGGGGAGAAAAATTGGAGAACTCACACTTAGAGATTTCAAAAGTTACTACAAAGCTGCAGTATTCAGCTTGTGGCAGTGTGGCATAGGATAGACATAGACCAAGGGGACGTTGAGAGTCCAGAAATAAACCCTCACCTATGGCCAAATGAGGGGAAACAATAGTCTTCAACAAATGGTGCTGAGACAACTGGACATCCACATGCAAAAGAATGAAGTTGTCTCCTACCTCACACAAAATATAAGAATTAACTCAAAATGGATTGAAAACCTAAGTATAAGAGCTAAAACTATAATACTCATAGAAGAACACATAGGCGTAAATCCTCAAGACCTTGGGTTTTTAGATATGACTCCATAAGCACAAGCAACAAAAAAAGATACATTGGACTTTGTCAAAATTAAAATTTTGATGTGTCAAAGGACATGATCAAGAAGTAAAAGGACAGCATACACCATGTGAGAGAATATTTGCAAATCCTACCTGACAAAGGCCTAATACCCACAGCGTAAAGAACTCTTACAACAACAACCGAAAGACAACCCAATTAAAAAATGGACAAAGGACTTGAGTAGACATTTCTCAGAAGAAGGTATATAGTGGACAACAAGCACATAAAATGAGGCTCGACGACATTAGCCATTAGGGAAATACACAATAAGATACCATTTCACATCCATAAGAATGGCTGTATATTTAAAAATGGGAAATAACATGTTGGCAAAGATACAGAGAAACTGGAATCTTTGAACATTGCTAGTGGGTATATAAGCTGGTGTCTGTCACCTTTGTAGAAAACCTCTGGTGGTTCCTCAATAAATTAAACATAGAATTACCATAAGGCCCAGCTCCTAGGTTCCACTTCTAGGTATATGCCCAAGAAAATTGAAAATAGTAGTTCATTTAGAAACTTGTTCACAAGTGTTCATATCTGTGCTCTTCACAGTAGCCAGAGGTTAAAAACAACCCAAATGTCAGTCAACTGGTGGATGGATGAGCAAAATGTGGTATTTCTATATAATGGGACATCATTCAGCCGTAAGAAGACATGAAGTACTGACACCTGCTACAACATGGATGAACTTTGAAATCATTATACTCAGTGAAAGAAGCCAGCCACCAAAGGCTGCATATAACTTTTAGATGAGGCATCCAGAATAGGAAAACTTCAGAGACAGATGAGTAGTTGCCAGGGGCTGGGATTAGGGGGAATGGGGAGTGACTGCTTCCTGTTTATGGGGCTTCCTTTTTTAGTGATAATCGTTACACAACGTTGTGAGTGTACTAAATGCCACTGAATTGTGCACTTTATAATGTTAAAATGGTAGGTTTTATATTATATGTATTTAGCTACAAATTTTTTAAAAGTGCTATAAGACCACTGGAAAACATTTTAGGACATCTGAGAAATGTTTTTCTGCAAACTTCCTTATATTACATATTTTTAAACAAATTTGAGATCACATTATGGATAATCCCTTCAGCCCTTTTATTTCCTATTGTAGCTTGGATACCTTTCCCCTTAGCTAGGGCAGTCGACCTTGTTCATGCTTAGCAGTTGTGCGTGCAGTGTTACTGTCATACCTTCTGAGTAGATTTCCCTGCCTCTGACTTTTTTCCCGATCATGCTGTAAATGTGATCTAAATTGTGTGTTTTCATGGAAATTTTATGTTATTTCTGCTAACTTCATAGCAATATCATCATGTAGAAGCATTTGGTTTTTGTGAGACAATATATGAAGTGTTGGCCACAGAATATTATGTGGTGATATTTTCTTTTGTCCTTTGAAAGTTTTATGTAATGGTAACATATGTATAATTTAATTACTTTTTTCTTCTAAACCTGCAAAAAATGTGGTCCATTAAATATTAGTTCTTAGAAATGCCTAGTTGAAATATTTGGCAGAATTTCCAATCTTTTCAGCCTTTAAAAGTTCAGTAATTTAGTCTATGTAAAATAAAATAGCTTAACTCCATTTTTTGTTGAAAAATTTTTTGATTGAAAATATTTAATAGCCATTTTTTATAGAATCATCTGAATTATTTATATCATAGGTGAAAAAGCAGTTTGCAAATATATGTTTATATTATCTATGTTATGATTATAACTATTTAAAATATGTGGTATAGTAAACAGCCAATCAATGACTCTCACATCATTGATGTTTCTATCTCTCTCTCTCCCTCTCCTTTCCTCTCTCTGAAATCAATAAAGATATATTAAAAAAATAATAAAATAAATAAAATACATGGTATAGAAAACAGGTTGGAAAGAAAACAAAATAGTAACTAAGGTTTTATAAGTATAGTGTAGGATTACTAATTATTTTGTCTGTTTTCCAATAATTTTATAAGTGGATTCTATGAATGATTTTTTAAAGTAATTGAAAAAATCATCTTTGTAGATGAAACCAAAAGATAAGTTGAATTTTTTAAAACTATCTTCATGGAGGTGGGAGGTTCTCTCTCTCTCCCCCTCTCTCTAGTACTGTTATCTTACCTGGTAGCACATTGTAGCTCGATTCTGCTCCAAGAAAACTTACGAAGGATTCAGACTTCTCCATGCTGTCCTCCAGGTGAGCTGTGGGAAGTGCTGCTGCCGGCGCCCCCACCGTCTGCCGGGTTCTCGGCTGTCTCCTGGGCCTGTGGTGAGGCGAGGAACTTTTCTTCGGTCTTCCGTGATACGTCTTCCTCCTTTGCTTCCTAGGAGTTTCGTCATTTTGTCCAAAGTCCATTTGACAAATGATAAGCAGAAGAACACAGAACAGGCCTGCAAACTTCATGCTTGCTTTTCCACCCCCAGAGTCTAGAGCAGTCAAAGAGAATTCCCAAGTTAGTGGCGACCAAATTTTACCTCTGAAACTGGCTGATAATCGCCTGTATGCCTCAACAGCAAGTCTTCAAGAAATAACACAAATGATATATGGGCTCTATGCTATATAGAGTATTACTGCCAAATCAGAATTCAGAATTTTTCTGTCAGGATCAAAGAACTTCTAATATCTTTACTTCTAGACCAGGCATGAGCAGACTTTTTCTATGAAGGACCAGATACTAACTATTTTAGGCTTTACAGGTCATAAGTTCTCTGTCGTAAGCACTCTCCTCGGCCCTTGTAGCATGAAAGCAGACAGTCTGTACACAGATGTGCCAGTAAAATCCTGTTTACCAAAGCAGGCAGTGGGCCACACTTGGCTCCTGGGCCATTGTTGCTGACCCTGCTCTGGACCGCTGTGTTGTGGGCTTTCAGAGGCTGTTCAGGTGATTTCTTTTCACCTGTCTGCCAAGTCATTTTGTGACACGATCTGAAATCCATTTTCCCAGCTCTTCTTTTTTGTGCTTTTATTCTCTAGATTTATAATTTTCTTTGTTGAGGGTGGGGACATCACTGCACTCTATAAAAATAACAGTAGCCCTGGCTGGTTTGGCTTAGTGGTTAGAGCATTGGCCTGTGGACTGAAGGGTCCCAGGTTCGATTCTGGCCAAGGGCATGTACCTTGGTTGCAGGCTTGATCCCCAGCCCCAGATGGGGCGTGTATGGAAGGCAACCCATCAGTGTGTCTCTCACATCAATGTTTCTCTCTCTCTCTCCCCCCTTCCACTCTTTCTGAAAAGCAATGGAAAAAATACCCTTGAGTGAGGATTAAAAAAGAACAAAAACAATAAATTAGCATCAGTTATAAAGAGGTAAGAGGGATAAAAAAGTAACTCTTATCAGCTGGTCTCAAGAGCAGCACAGGGCCCTACAGGTGGCAAAGCTGAAGTATGTGCTTGAGAAACACTTCAGTACTCCTGTTGAGAAAGACTGAGTTGTAGTCAGACAGGATGGTCCCGGCTCTGTAAAGTCAGGTAGCACGGACAGGTAAAGAGAAGCCCTTCGAAGGTGATTACAGGGGCTTTGTTGAAGGATCACCCAGCCATGTGCTGTGACCTGTGGTTAGTCCTTCTCAATGGAAGGATTGTACAGTGTTCATTGCCTGTCTGAGTTTAGAGCTAGTGTCCCCACCGTCACCTTTGTCTGAATGAAAGTGACCTGCTGACATCCAGACACTCCACACCTCAGGTCTGCCTCCAGACCTGGGAAAGCTGTAGAAATCCCAAGGGCATCAGAATGGAAGACTGCATACTGGGGGCAAAGCAGGCCTTCCCTGTCATGGTGCCTACCGCCCAAATGTACACAAAATGGGGGTGATCAGTGTCAGTGAGTCAAATATTGTGATCCTCTCTCAGTAGAAACCAGATTATCGCAAAAGCATTCGCCACCCTGAATTCTTTTCCTCAGTACAAATGTCATTCACAGACATATTGTTTACATTCTGACCCTGGTGCATCCCCTAGAGGGTAGGAATATGGGCACTCTTTTATGGGGGCTTCCATTCCTGCATTACTAGCAATTTTGCCGATTTGACAACTATATCCAGAGTGGATCCGTGAAGTAGTGGCTCCCGGAGAAGCTGAGGGATGGTTCACGGTCACTTCCTAGAGGGCCTGTCAATCATCACACCAGTTTGGTAACAAAGCTTACCAAATCTGACTTCTGCTTCCAGGCAAGATGGAGTAACAGACCACATATACCTTCCCACCTAAAACAACGGAAGGTTGTCAAAATACATGAAACATTTTCAAATATTAGACATGGAACAGCATAAGACAGGGATCCCTGAGAGAGGGGGCAAAATCCACAGTGAGCCCCTGCTTACTGCCTAGAGGGAGTTCCTTCCTAGTCTGCAGCCGTGGGGGAAGACCCAGGCTGGGTCCCGTAGTCTCCTTCAGTTGAAAGGACAGGCCGAAGGTCTGGTGATCCCAGAAAGGCAAGAGTTTGCAGGAGATAGTACAGAAAGGTGAGAGCTACCCAGAGAAAGCCTTCCAGAGACTTCAAGTCTTCAACTGAGTACTGATTAGCACATTTGTATGAGTAAATTCCTCGACACTGGAGACACAACTACCATGGAGGAGAAATCCCTGGCACTTGAAAAATACTGGGCAGAGTTTGTGTACCTGCCAGTCAAAGTGGAGAACCTGTACTTCATGGGGCATCAGGCAGAGTTCTCGAGACACTGGCACAGCAGAGGAAACACCTCACCCTAAACCAATGGCTCCTCTGATCCCATTTAACAAAACTGAACAACAGGCCTCTCTGAAAAAATCAGAACTATGTGCAGTAATGTAACCATGTCCCAGAACACCTAACAGTGCTTGAGAATCCAGGGAACATTTACCAGACGCACAAGCAGGAAGAGCTGACCCGTAATGATGAGAAAAATAAATCTGTTGAGACCAATCCAAACATGGTTCAACTGACATGATCACTAAGTAGGTTATTAAAAGTTATTATAACTAGATTCATGTGTTCAAGAAGGTAGAGGAAATACATTTGAAGAGATTCAAATCAAACTTTGACAGATGAAAACTACCATGTGAGATTAAAACTACACTCTTAAGGGGTGAATAGCACATTAGACATTACAGAAAAAATTAGTGACCTTGAAAACAGTCATAGAAATGATCCAAAATGAAACACACACCGAAAAGACTAGTGAAAATGTCAGGCAGCTCAGTGTATGTCTAACTCCAGTCCCTGAAGGCTGAGGGAGGCACAAAACACAAAGAAAGAACAGTTGCTTTCAAACTTGATGAAAATGATAAACCCACATGTCCAAAGCACAGTGAACTTGAAACATAAGAAATATGAGAAACATTATACCAAATGTTTATCATTTTCAGATTTCCTTAAAGCCAGTGATAAAGACAAAATCTTAAGAGCAACCAGAGAAAAAGACAGTTATGAATAAAGGCAGACCTCATCAGAAACAGCACTATCCAGAACACCATGGAGCAATATCTTTAAGGAACTGAAAGAAAACATAATTGACTACTTAATACACTCAGCATTTTAACACTTCTATTAATTAATAGAAGAATCCTTTATTTTGGGTGTTTATAACGTAAGTAGAAAATGTATAGCAATAAAAGCAAAGAGGGAGAAATAGGAAATGTAAATATATAAGGATCTTATAAGTGAAGTAGAATAATATCACTTGAAGGTAAACTGTCATAAGTTAAAGATGCATATTATGAGTCCTAAGGTAACCACTAAACAAAAAGAGTTACAGTCCTTACCGGGTGGCTCAGGTAATTGGAGTATCATCCCATACACCAAAAGGTTGCGGGTTCCATCCCCTGTTGGGGCACATATGGGAGGCAAGTGATTGATGTTTCTCTCTCACATAAATATTTCTCTCCCCCCCCTTTCTCTAAAATCAATAATCCTCAGGTGAGGATTTTTTTTAAAAAAGGGTTATAGCTAATAAACCAATAAAAGAGATAAAGTTGAATAATAAAAATAATTTTAAAAAATTGCTCTGACTGGTGTGCCTCAGTGGTTAGAGCATTGGTCTGTGCACCAAAGGGTCATGGGCACATACCTGGGATGGAGATTTGATCCCCGGCCTGGTCAGAGTGCATGAGGGAAGCAACCAGTCGATATGTCCCTCACATCTATGTTTCTCTTCTCCATCCCTCTTTTTTCCCCCCTTCTCTCCCTTCCACTCTCTCTAAAACTCGATGGAAAAAATATCTTCGGGTTAGGATTAACAACAACAACAAAGAAATCTTACACAAAAAGATACTTACGTGATTCCATTTATATAAAACTGTGGAAAATACACACTTTTCTATAGGGAAAGCATCTCAGTGTTTGCTTCAAGACAGGGATGTGGTTTTACCGTCAGCCAGGTGGAGATTACCAAGGATTACAAATGAACTTTTGGGTGTGATGGATACATGCATTTTCTTGATTGTGGTCATGGCTTTACAGTTACACTTTAAATATATGCACTTTCATTTATAGTAATTTTTAATTTATTATTTACACGTACAGTACAAATATATGCACTTTAATTGTCTCCACCACTATATTTACCTAGAGCTGGCATGTTGATGTTCAGAGTAAGAGAGATTTAGAATCACACATCTAAATCATGTAATGAATAAAATTCACAGTCCCAGCTTGTCTGAGCTCCTTTTCAATGGTGTGACCTAAGACTTCTCTTCAGGCAGAAGTAAAGTGGTATCATGGAGGGCCTTGAGGACCAGGCTGTGGGGTTGATAGTAGCTTAGACCAAGGATCAGGAGCTTAGGAGCCAGAAGCCAAATTGAGCCTACTGGGCCCTTAAGATGCTTTTTATTTTTTAATGGTTTTAAAATTTAAAAGAAGAATACTATTTTATAACAGATTAAACTATATGAAGTTAAAATTTCAATAGCCATGCTTAGTTTTATTAGAACAACCACTTTCATTTATTTATATTTGACTTGCACTTTTATACTGTAATGGCAGAGTTGAATAGTTACAACAGAGACTTAACCATGTAGCCTGCAAAGTCTAAAATAGTTTGCAGCAAAAGTTTGCTAGCCATAGTTCATAGTAGGGCTTCTGAATGGGGGTGAGTGTGCCCCCAGGGGACACATTTGGCACTGTCTGGATACATTTTTAGTTGTCACAATTGAGAGAGGCACTACAGGCTTTTGGTGTGTAGAAGCCAGGGATGCTGCTAAATGTCTTACATTGCATAGGACAGGCTGCCACTGCAAAGAATTAGCCAGCAAAAAATGTCATCTCTTAGGATTCTGATTAAGATCATAGTGTAGGTAAATGCTGTACTTGCCCCCTCCCACAACCACATCAAAATTACAACTAAACCACAGGACAACCATCATTTAGAACCGCCTGAAATCTGGCTGAACAGAACTCCTACAACTAGAGAATTAAAGAAGAGGCCACAATGAGTCTGGTAGGAGGGGCAG